TCTACTTTTACGATTGAGTAAAAAAAATAATATTAATAACAAAAATGAGGTTAATTTGTGTTCAAAAAGGGCTCACCAGTTTCGTGCCTATAGGTAACCCTCGTGTTATTGATAGAAGAAGCCAGACAAAAAGTGAATTAGTCTTTATTTCAATCTTAGCGCAGTCACAGTGGAGCGTGGGATTATCTGTTCAGACAAACAAAAGCTTTCAACATTCAATATAAGATAATAAGGAATATAACGCTTATACAAAATAAGGAAGTGAATAAATACTTGAACAATACTGTTTTGACATATGCTTGGTTGTTTGGGGTCAACTCTTAAACAACCAACCTATGCTGTTACACAGGTACCTTATCTGGTAAACTGGCATGAAATTCACCGTTCCAGTTATAAGATAACACACCCTGGTTAATTGACATTTTTATTATTGTTGTGAGCCAGACAGGAACTTATATTACAAGATGTCTCAACATTCTAGGTTATAGTTCATTCAGTCACATTAATCTTTCTGTATCTAAAGACCTTAATACCCCTAGTGTGTCTTCAAGCCCAAAGTTCACGTGCAGAATCCAGATTTACCGTATGACTTCTGAAGCTATTTCTTGATTGAGTAAAGGCTTACGAATAATGTTTAGGCTTTCACAATTTATATAATATACCCTTGTGGGCAAGGTTAATTTTACATTGGTTTTCAGAAGAACCAGACAACATCCAGACTTTCACGTAGAAACCCAAACAGTACAGCTCAACCTTAGTTTAACAGGGGAACCAGACACCGTACAGGCTTTAACACTACAATCTGAATAGTACAGCTAAATTCTGTGGCGCAACCACACAGATACCAAGCACCCTGGCTTAAAGTATTCGGTTATTTCTTTTGTTTTGTATTTGTATCCGAGACCCATATCTTGCCGTAGTTTAAGTGAGAATTCTTAGTCTCATTTTAGTTTAGTAATTGATATAAAAAATAGTCGATTGGATTCACCTTTTGGAATCCTGTTTTTCGCGCCGTTTAGTAGGAACGTTTCAGAGCTTTTACATTTATTTCAATGAACAGTGAACGTCACGGTTTATTTAGGTATAGTCACGGATTTATTTGAAGCTGTCTAGTTTATGAACGTGTGAATTACTGAGTTGTAACATTCTCTGCAGCAACGTTATGCTTCTTTGACTGCACTTTCAGGTTTATTTCCCGGTCTTCAGCAATGTCATTTCAAGTTGTTTGTCTTTCTTCACGCCTTCCATACTATAGAATGGATCAACACGCCTGTCTGACAGACAGTAAAAGCAATAAATCAAATTGCAGTGAATGTGTGAGCATTTATCTATTGAATTTAATTATATGTAGTCTGACAAACAAAAACACATGTGTGATGATTAGGTAAATAATGAAAGGGGATCCCGTGATTTGTGCGTAGTAAAAACTGTAAAGTGTTAAAATGCAGTTTGTGTATTTTCTGGCACCTTGCGGTTTGAGTTCGAATGGTTTTCCTGAAGACTCAGTCTTTAGCCAAATCCATAAAGATGCACTGAAGTCACTCGCTATAAGTCTTCTATACCAATCTTACAAGGGTTTCAGTTTCAGGAAATAATCCACAAAACACCTGGTATCGCGATATGCTACAACTATCTCAATATTATGTTCTTTACATTTCAATCCTCCCAGCACCAAATCTTATGAGCTATATTCATGTGGCATTGTTTCCACAGTTTCTATGAATAAAGTATTTCTCAAGAAAGTAACTGAACACCCGGTCTCTACCGTTTTATCCATCAGTTCTCAATTGTGAGTGTCCCTTCAGTAGTATTTCACAATCTCTTAATTCTGATATCGCTTTTCTGAAGTTGAGATGATTTCAGAATTATTTATGCTGAGCATATTGTTGAGCTTTGCTTCTTCATTCAGTTAACTTGGAGTATTATTATAAAGGATTCAGAAATATATTTTTAACACCATCTTATGCCAAGTGTAGTGGTTTGAGAACTGCTGGTTTACAAAATATGACGATGCGAACACGCGGTAATCACTGATGCACCAAAAAGAGTGTTAACACTTTAACCGAAAGTGTCGGTTTATGAGTAAAGCAAAACGATAACAACTAACACTTTAAAGAAAAAGGTATATCAAATAATAATATGATAAAAATTGTTATGAAAATAAAATGTCTTACAGGTTACTTCTGAAATAATGAACACAAAGGAGTTCACTTGATTAACTCAGGTTCTTTTGCACATGGTGGCATAGGCAGCGTGACACGAATGATAGACCTGATAGTGTTGTTGAATAATCCGAGCCACGTTTCAACGTAGTGCGGGATCCCCCAAAAGGATGTTATAACACTACTCTAGTCTTCAATAACAGGCTATGACCAACAAAGAAGAAGGAGAGATGACGAAAGTAGTATTTACTTGAATAAAAAGGGTAGCATGTACATTGAAAATGTCAAAAAAACAATGTTCATTTTACAAAACGAAGGAGACAAACAATAGATATTGAATTTCAATGTGATTAAGCTTAAAATGTCACGGCGAAAGAAAAAGTGTAATCTTCATTTTCTTTTTACAACGATCAATGAACGTGCAATTACGCAGAACCTGATATATTATTATTATTCTATTATCACTATTGCCTTTTTTCTCTTTTTCAAATATGGCAAATATAATGCTAACATTATTGAAACTTGTGTACTACTGCATTTTTGAAGAAACCCGAAATGGTTTTTTCACAACACTTATGTACCCATAAGATGTTTGTGAATAATAATAATAATAATGATAATAATAATAATTCTTCCTCAAGACATACGTCAACGGATGTACGCCAAACGTCGACTCAGATTACTTAGGAGGGAAAATTTTATAAAACAAACAATGAAGAGAATAATAAATAAATAAGTGTCATCAAAAGATGTTTATGTATGTATACTGATAATGGACGAGAAAGGTGTGTGTGGTAATATATTTTCTTCGAATGTTTATATTTATTTATATGAACGTATATAAAAGGTTTAATAATAGTACAATTCCTGACAACAAAAAGAGTGTTAATGATAATGTTAACAATGATTATAGTGATGATTGAACTGATCAGCAGTAAAGTGTACAAACATAACAAAGTTTAACATCGTTGTGCACCTAATAACGAATAATAAACAAAATGTACACACACATATATATATATAGATACTGTAGAGAGCACATCAACAGCAATAATGCAAGAGAACAGGTATGCTGAAAGAATGTTTGTTTGCAAAACGCTGGAACGGGATTAAAAATTGTCGTGTTATTTCATCCGTTGTTGGAATTTCTATAAGGAGATTATAACTAATTTGTTAGAAATGTAATAATAACCTTAGCTTTCTTATTTCCTTTGTTTTATTGTTTGCAAGACACCGGAACATTTGAGGGTTCAGTAAAATCGAGTTACCTGTGAACAAGGATAAGTCTTTAGGCAAGTAATTTTCGGGGAGTTACCACTTTAAAATAAGGCGGGTTAACGTCTCTTGCTGCATTTTGTACTTGCAACTTATCGACTATCTGAAATTTTACTTTGGGTGTCTAAAAAGTATAAGTAACGTAGTAGTAAATCAATGTACTAATATACCAACTTGTTGCTTGCCGTTTCTGCTTGCGGACATACGTAGCATTCAAAACCGGGTCCACAATATTTCATGTCACCATATGGTTACATATGCATTGGAATATACCGGTAAAAGTTCATGGTAAACAGTCTTTTCAACATCCATGCGCTGACAAAGATTAGCAGTTAAAAATGTTAGGTGAAACAGCACAGAATTGATTATAATAACGTAGACCGATTTATTCTACGTAAACGTCTCAACCAATAGTGGTCATAAGTACACTTTTTCATCCCCTCTTCTAGGATTCTTTTTATCTATTACTGCTACTAGAATTAATTCTGCTCCTTTTTCACTCATGTTGGTTTTATCATCATGAATATGTGATACGGAAAATTAGGTTAATTCACATTCTAGCACATCGTTGCAATTTCAATCATCAGATTCACATTTGAACATTACTTTCTAGTCTGGTTTGGGCACTTGCATCATCTCATTACTAGTCATACTAAAGATGTGGCCGACTATATAGTGATGGGGTTGGTCATTCAATTTCCCTAATTACTTTTAAGTTCTATATTTCTAATGTTTTTAAAGTGTTTCCCAAAATAAAAACTCCCACCTGTGAACTAAATCTGGCTACGAGATTTTAACTTCGTTTCACTCTTGAGATGTAAGCATTTTATAACACACATAAGGCTTTGTTTAAAGGCATCGGCGTATAATGTCCATTCGTAAAATGAGGAATTAAGTTATTAATTTGTATTATTCTTTAACTTTATATAAGTTTCTAAGCTTAAGCTTCAATTAGTCTTGTGTACCTTTTTGATACCAGCACAGATTTTGACTTAAATAAACACGCATTTTTGTTTTTAGTAAACAATCATCCGTCATACATTGTTCAGTGTTTATTTTCCTGTGTGGTTAATATATCTGCTAGTAATTCTTATACTAACACTATATGTAATAAATAATTTGATCATATACCATGGGGATCGATTAAGTAACTGTACTTTTGAAGGGCACAAATCATCAGGTCAAACTCTTGGTCCGAGTCAGCAATACCACTTATCCACTCAGGTAAGTGGAGGCAATGATGTCTGTTCTATGCTTCTTATGTTGGTAAAAATTGATCATGAATGAAAGTGGCATTCATTTCGCATAGTTAGTCTACTTTCTTTTCTTTGAAGATCATCACAGCAACGTAGTTATTATAAATATCGATTGGTAGGTTTAATATTATTTCATCTTTGTATCAGTTCGGTTGTTGATTACCAGTTTTTGTCAGCTTGGGTCAAACCAAAAGTAGAACTGTGGCGTACCGTGGATAATCAGTGATTTTTTAGCGACAAAAAGATCACATTTTTCTCTACTTTTCACACTTTATATTCAATAGCTGTTGTTTCTCTGTATCGATGACAAAGAAACAGATGTAATGAATATATAGACACGCACTAGCGCGACTATTAAACACTAGACGTATTTTCTTCTGATTTACTGGCTGTGGCTGGTGGTTGAGGATTTTAATAGTGTCATAATATACTTTTAAGTCTTTTCGCACTACGTTTGTGATTTGGTCTGGATCAATACTACGTCATACTATCGGATTTAGTCTTTCTCATTACGCCGTTGGTTCGACCATATTAATAGGAACCTTTGTTAATCATATGAACTCTAAGAGCAGCTTACAAGTAACATTCATTTCATAATAACTGTTATCATTTTGTTGTATAATATTCAATTTGCATTGTAACCGTAATTTGTTACTTTCTGCTCTACTCGTAAACAGACACTGATGTTCGTAGTGATAGTTCTTTATGGTATATTATTGTTAACTTTGTATATCGTTATATCTTGAATAATCACTTTTCTGGGATTGATCGCAAGTGCAACTAGGCGTAAAAGGCTATCAACTGATCGCTTTCCAGAAGTGACTTTATTCATTTCTTAACTAGGAAAATTAATCCTCACTATTTAAATGAACAGTGTTTAAAAATATAAATGGTCGCCAGTTAACTGTTTGCTTAACATCAAATATTGTGTTTTGTTTTAAATAGTTCAGAAAGGTGATCGCTTCTGGATCTCCATTGTATCATAACTTAAAGTCTCGAGTTCCACAACTCGTTATTCTAGTAAAAGTACAAAGATCCTTTTTATAAGTGCACTTTTAACCTTTGAAATACTTGAATGTTCATTAAGATGTATATTTTCGTACTAGATCTGTGTCATTTCTACTTTTTGTATTTAGAACTAAACAGCTCTTACTCGGTCTCAAAAAGCAAATGTTTTCAGTTTGTCGACAGTTTTATTTCAGCAAAGTCACTTTTGTCGCTTTACCCAGCAAATATCAGAGAGCATTACACCATGAGTCGAAACACAAAGCTGAAAATATAAAATTAAGAGAGCCTTTCGCTGTCGTTGCTGGGAACTTGCCGAAGACAGCTTTGAATGGTGAGCAAGCTTTCAATTTTTTGAATGATGGTAAGTTGCCTGAATTTAATATAATTGTGTTGGAAACTAGATGCCAAAGTTTTTATTCACGGCGGCGCAGCTACACCTACAATACTTATTTCGGAATTTTATAACTATGTGATGGCTAAAAAGCTGAAGAATATATCGGCTTACCACATTCATACAGAGGGACCCTTTCCAATTATCAATCCTGAAGCAAGTAGCCACGTCCGATCTGTGTCACTTTTCACAGGTATAGAACGAATAACATTACTGTCCTTCTACAGGCAGCAATTGTAGAGATCCAATCAAAAGTGGAAGAGCCGATTATGTTCCTATATTTTTGAGTGAAATACCACTCCTATTTCGCAGAAATATCATAAAACTCGACCTAGCATTACTAAATATCAGTCCTCCAGATGTTAACGGGTATTGTTCTCTTGGTCCAAGTGTAGATGTTACTCGTGCTGCTATTGAGTCAGCTAAGCACCTCGTTGGTAAGTTCTTACCATCGTACTATAACTCTTAAAGGTCAAATAAATCCGAGCTTACCAGTCACTTCTGGAGATGCCCATGTACATATAAGTAACTTCACGTCGATCATCCACGGGGATATGCCTTGTCACTTTATGAATCCACGACAAATGACCGAAGTTGAAGATAAAATTGGCGCATTGATTGCAGATAACCTAATCGATGATGGTGCCACTCTGCAAACAGGTTAGTAAACATTTTAAAGGTAATTATTTTTCACCTAAACAATTGTTTTCTCGCAAGTCATTAAATCGCGTATATCCATAAACGCTGAAGTTCCTCACATTCTAATTTTTATTATTATTATTTCAAGCACTATATTTGTTTAAGATTTGCTAGTATTAATGGAATTAAAGTTTTATTGCGTTACGACTTTTCTGTATGAAGAGATGTCTCGGTTCTGACCTAACTAATAACCGGGTTTCTTAATTCATTAAAATTTGCAAACCGATTAGCCGAAGCTTGGATGTTTAAATCTTGCCACTATAATTGGGAAATTCTCTCGATCTCACTAAAGTATCTGATTGTTTTTAATAGAGATAACTTTTATCTAGCTAGAATACTTTTAAGACAGTTTCATTCCTGATACTTTAGTCTATTCTTTTTATTTTATTTACTTATCTAAACACAAATACTGGTACAAGGAGGCACCAGACACATATGCGCCACACAAACCTCATTTGGTTTGTGTGAGGGCTGTGATACTGCCCATGTGCCTAAACCGAAGCAGGTGGTTTTCTTAGGGGACCGCACCTGGAGTCTTCGACCTAAAGGTCTGATCCATAAAGCAGTGGAGCAACGTAAGGAGATGCAGTCCCATGGTAACCGGTGACCAGCGATTGGTTCATACTCCACTAACCCGGTTAGAGCGCCGCACATTCGTTTTTTGCCCTCTCAATTCCGTAAACAACACCCCCGACACAAGAAGGTAGTGAGTAGGACTTCCCTGGCAGAGACTATATACGTGTGGCCATGTGAGAGCATTTCGAGAGGAAGAGTGGACTCTCCCCACTCTCGGCCTTACCAAGGCATTTGGGGACTTAGTCTATTCTATCTAATATATACTAGTGACTTTATACCTATTCAAGTAAAAAAGCTTTTCAAATACTTAGTACTCGAGAGCACTTATTGAAGCACATATTCTTCGTAAACAGTGTAGAACTCGACACAAATATGGATCAACCTAAGTTGTCACAATCCACATCACCACAATAAGTGAAAATTAATAACAATCGTTATCACACAATTACCTGCATAGCTAGTCTTGATAGCGATTAAAGAAAAAAAATAGACACCGCTTCATGCCAGTGTATATTTAGTAATACGATCTGTCATATCAGTCAATATCTTCCAATTCATTGTTTTCAAAAGTGACTTTTGGCTATATATTCTATCATAATGTAATATTCATCATTTTTCGTGGTAAACTTTAATTTTTATTCTTAAGACTTTCCACTGGATTTTATTTACAAAATCCTTACATCACTTTTACATTATAGGTATTGGGGCAATTCCAGATTCAGTCTTAAATAAGCTTTCCAACCATCGAAACTTAGGAGTTCACACAGAAATGTTTTCAGATGGAATTATTAAACTAGTTGAAAATGGTGTTATAACAAATGCGAACAAGGTAGTACGTCCAGGGAAAGTTGTCACGAGTTTTGTCATTGGTACAGAGAATGTTTTCAAATTTTTACATGATAACCCATTGATTGGTGAGTCTCTACAGTTGGATTTTTATTGTTGTTTTTATAAGGTATTTCAGACAAACTTTATAGAATACTAATCAATATACTAACCGTTCATAAATCCCCATCACATTGAAACACCGATAAATGGACGATGAACATTCTTTTCGAGCCTTCTGCCCAGCGCTTTCACGTTTTCAGTTGTTGTCTAACTTAGTTAGATTGGTTCGTGATTTCAATAAAATTAACAATTTTTTCTTAATTTATAAACAATCATATGTCCACGTGCTATAGTTTTAGACGATGTATTTGCCTTAAACCTGACCAGTTTTGGATCATCAATTGGGACAGACAACCATAGATCTTGAAGATAATTCGTTGAAAAGAATATTCTCGAACCATCTATATTTAACTCTTTAAAGTACCATAATAAATTGCGTACGTTTTCACCTTTTCTAGGCATCCTAACGTAGTTAGACCAAGTCCGATTCCGTAGACATCACTTGTACATAATTTTTTTAGTCCTACCTCGTGTGTATTTTGAGAAGACGATTCTCTCTATTTTTCTCAAATGAACAGAAAGGAAACTTATTGTTAATCGTTCATAGCCAGTCAGGTTTTTAAATCTGATCGTTGTCAACTTATAACTACTCCACAAACTAAATTACACACCTATATTCCATTTATTTTTAACCAAGCTTCTCTTATGTATTTTCTCTCCAAAAACCTCCAAGTTGGAACGAATTCTGTTTAAAATGACTAAAGATTCTCAGAGCCAAAGTGTCTGTATCGCTGTTGTGAAAAAATCACCTTAGATTATAATTCTTAGTCCCATCAACAGTTTTATTCATATCGTCTTGTTCTTTTGTTTTGTATGGATTAGAATGATTTAAACCAGAAATGGTGTTATGATCACTAACGCCTTTTTTCTTTTCGATAACACTTGATAATGTTACGAAATTAACGTGTTTCAGGACTAAAAAGTAGCATATTTGTTCGTGTATTTTGATACTAGTTAAACGTCTTCTTAATTCCAATAATATTATCCAGTTGCTGGAATTTTAATGTTTGAGACCAGTTTCAAACATGTGACCAAATATTAAATGATCATATGTACACGCCAATGAATTCTATTTGTATTGAATTCTCTGTATTATGGATTAACTTAATAGATTTGGTCCATTTCATGCTATAGAATAAAGGAGGTAAAGTTCTTTGGATAGAATAACATGAATTCATTTTATTTTTTAAGGTTTTCATCAGCCGCTTATAATAATGTGCTATATTTCAGTGCCAAAATTAACAATACAGTTTGACATACAGTGATAAACATGGTCAGAAAAGTGACAGTGTGACAACGATTAAGGAAACGGAAATAAAGTTAAAGATTGCGTAAAACGTAGGACGAAGCTAAAGTGCAATGTTTGTTTGCTTAGTTGATTACAAGAAAATCATTTGATGAGTTCTATGCCCAATACTTTGTACTGTCTGCATCATATTAGTAAGAACATTCTTCTAATTCACAGACCAGTTCAATATATTCATTTACAAAAGTATGAAATAAGCTTTATTGCACTCGTCTTTTAGCTTCATAATATATATATATAAAGTCAACAGTAATAGAAAATTATTTACTAACTTTCCGATTTTTCCTAAAAATGAAACTCTTAACAAATTTGATTTTTTAAAATCGTAATTTTATTTACCTTTTTTAGCGAATTAATACGTTTTAATACATTTTTCTTAGTTTTGTTAGGAATAACTTGAGGATAAACTACAGCATTTTGCTCCATTTAAAGATGTATTATGTACGATTTTTATAGATGAAACTATTTCATACGCAATTTTTATCGACTATGCCATACAAAAAAATGTAATGTAAACATGCTAGCAATAAATGAGTGACGATTATTTTGTATCTTGGAGAAACTCAAGATATGAATTCACAGTAAACTAACCATGAATTAATCATGATCCATCAGGTGACTTATTCTAACTTGATCACAACAGAATAAATATCCAAATAGTTAAAACCTATAAAATCATGTAATCGTTCTTGTGTTAGAAATCTTTCGGGTTACTTGATCTATTTTCGTCTATTAAAAACACTGATAAACACTAATCAAATCATTTTGCAGATCCAAATGAAGTATGCTTGTGTAACTTTTTTGATTAGAGTTTAAATCTGACCTCATTATTGTGACTTACTTACCATGGGTTTCACGTATAACTTCTGTAAATTGAGTTCACATGTAAACTCTAATTGGAATATCAAATTTATGTAGTCAGTAATCATCTAGGAATCATAACAGTAATTCTCGGTTTCTATTTTTTGAAGAATTTCGTGATGTGGCCTGGGTTAATTCACCTTTTGTAATAGCCCGAAATCCAAAACCAGTTTCCATTAATTCATGCATTGAAGTTGATCTAACTGGCCAAATTGTATCCGATTCTGTTGGCAGTAGAATCTACTCAGGTAAATTTGAGGTACACATTGTTTCATTCGTTTTGACTGTATTTTTTCTTGTTGCTATAAACCATCTGTCTATTTAAGTCACATATTACCAAGCACAGAATTCCCACAATGTTTAGTTAAAGTCTTTTGAATCATCATTTGCTCACCAGTGACTAATTTCGAGGTAATTCCGTGATACCAGAAACTGACTAGTGAGCTCATGATGTCAATATCATTCGATAGGCTCTACAAACTCCCTATACGAATAATTATAAACTCGATTTTAAACCATCAGGTCCCTGATTTGAACCCTGCTTCACTTCATGTTGGGTAACTAGATGTTATCATGAATCTGAGCTACAAATCTTCTCCACCATCTCGTTATCATGAACCCTCACATAAACAGTTCGGATCCAAGTTAACCTTCGGTACATATACATTAATCTTAACAAAACTCTATTCACGTGAAATAGTATTAATTTTCATCGTTTTTTCATCCATCCTTTGAGATTTCTTAGCCTTGTACACTTACGATAGCTGATTATATTCCATTGCAAAAAATGTCCTCAAATTGTCCACATTTTCACAAATTGGTTAAATAAACAAAATATCTGGTCTGTCTATCGGAACTTACTACAACTCGCCATATCTGATGAACAGTTTGCCAAAGTTAAAATATCTCTTCCTTTTTTTAATACTAAATCCAGTCTTCAGTTACTAGTAGATCATTCTTGCATGTGATTCTTTCATGAAAGTTTTGTTTCGGTATGCTAATGATGATAATTGAGCTCATACTAAAATGTCCATAATGTCTTGTTTTATTCTGATTAAAGGATTTGGTGGTCAAGTTGACTTCATCCGCGGGGCTGCAATAGCTGAAGATGGTTTAGGCAAACCTATAATTGCTCTTCCATCTACGACAAAACGTGGTGAAAGTAAAATTTCTCCATGTCTTAAACCTGGTGCCGGTGTTGTAACATCTCGAGCTCATGCTCATTATGTTGTCACCGAATATGGTATCGCTTATTTATTTGGACGTAGTTTAAGACAGCGCGCACATGCTCTTATTCAAATTGCTCATCCAGATCACAGGTAACCAAGTCGTGCTTTTTTATATGGACACTCGTTTGTTATTTTAATATCTATCTTCGTAAATATATATTTTGATAAATTTGTTTGCTTAAGATTAGTCTCATTTGCAAAACTATTCTGATATTCGGATTCTTTGAGTAGTAAAACTTCGTAATGATATGATAATACCATATCACCGTGCATTGAAGTCCATCATCTTTTAGCAGTGTGCTGTAAACATTCATGCAGTATCCGTCAATTAGTCGCTTGTGGTGCTGTTGTTATCTAGAAAGACAGTGGACATTTTATGAATAGACCATCCAGCTCAGAAAATACAGTACCACTTATATTGTCTATTAGCAGTCTTAACAGCTAAGCAGTAATAACCAAGTTTAACAGTGATTTACATCTACTCAACTTTCTAAGAAAGTATGAATTTCACGACGGTCACAGATTAGTCTTGTCGATTTCATAATTTCGGCATAATGAATTCCATAATAATGATTGATCAGCTATACCTATTTTGTGTCTACTTCTTTCAATAGAGAAGAAATGTTCTCATACAAGTCCATCGTTATCATGTAGTTAGTGCTGTGTATGATGTTTTTTGTCATCTCTTTTTTAAGTGATTCTTTCTAATTGATTCATTTTTTTTGTCAAAAACAGAGAATCATTAGAAAAGGCATCATTTGAACAACTCAAAGTAGTTCCATCAGCTGATTAGAAAGAAAACTACGTGGTTCCAAAGAGATATGTGAATAAGTAAAGATGTGTAAAATAAAACAAGTGATGAAATTCTTACAAACATACTATTAATAATTTATGTAATACTCGTACATTGTGACAAATAATCTTGCGGAAAATTTATTTTTAACATTGATTCTGTAGTGCTTTTACTAACATTTGTATTTTACCACATTGCTTTATAATTGTATTTAATTTATACTTATTATTAGTGTTTAAGTTACATTATCTTCCAAGTCTCAGATATTGTTTGTCATGCGTATTTTCTTTACTATACGAAGATCGGAGGAGGGTATGGGGAGCAGAATAAGTTGTTGTCATACTGAATTGGAGTAGATAGATTTTTATTTCAATATTTTTAGGACGATAAAAGTTTAACGCTCTCTGGCTTTCACTAGTACCAAAATCAGTGTCACCCATTGACTGAAATCACTAACACATAATAAGTGTTTGAATGTCAGAGATTGATAGACTTTTGTTATTTACCCCTACTAAAGTCTATTGTTAATGCGCTGGGCCACCTACTGGACTTGGATTTATTCATGATATAGAAAACATTATTTTGTGTAATATTGCTACACCAATAGTGAATTATTACTTCTTCATGATTGGCAAAATGAAATTTAAGAGTTCAAAAAGAGCATTATGTTAATTCAACATTGGTATTTATATAAACTAGTTGGTATTTGTTAGCATGTCTTACGGGGAATAACTTTTTGTGAGTCAATGATAACAATGGAAAAGACTACATAATAAGTGAAAAGTAAAAATTGGTAGTGTGGTGACAGGTGTACTAGTTTTTGATAAGAATAATAAAGGCTTAAATCAATGTTACATAATCGGAAATAGGTCAATGATTAGAAAAATATAGACAGTGAGACAACATTTATAAAAATTATAAGATTACGAAATAAGAAGTGTTTTGATAATTAGAGCGTGAAGCGTATGTTTGAGAGAAAAAAAGGCATAGAGGGTTTGATAGGTCCTGGGTTCGAATCTCGCGGGGTGCGGGATCGTGGATGCTCACTGCTGAGGAAACCCGTACTATGACGAAACGGTCGTTCAATGCTTCCAGGTCTTCCATGGCGGTCTAGCTTCAGTTGACTCATGATTTCAATCAGAGAAAAATAATAGTGCAATGACAATTCGGTCAGATGTTTAGTGGTAGGCTATATTCTGTGAAAAATTATTAAGACGTAATAAGGAGGTATAAATGCGAAGTGAATGAATCATGTATAGAGGAGATTAATAATGATGTTTAACCAATAGTAATAATAATGAAACAAAGATTTGTGAATAAAGATTACAATTTACTACGAAAGGTCGTAGTCAAATTAAGTCATTCAATTGCTAAGTTTTCTATTGGTTAATTGACCTTGATGTTGGCCAGAGGAGGAGGAGGAGTGGTTGAAGATATTTCTTCTGTACGCATAACTCCGGTTTCTTTATCCGGATGGCTACTGCTTCAGCCGTTTGAAGGACTTTAAGTTTGACAAGCTTTGGCAAGAAAATACTGACCTTGTAGATAATTGAGAAAGATTGGTTTACACTGGCACTATGACTAATTCGTACTAAATGGGCCAATATCGAGCTTATTACGCAATCTTACAATTTTTATAAATGTTATCCCACTGCATATTTTCCTAATCATTGACCTATTTCCGATTATGCAACATTGATTTAAGCCTTTATTATTCTTATCAAAAACTAGTACACCTGTCATCACACTACCAATTTTTACTTTTCACTTATTATGTAGTCTTTTCCATTGTTATCATTGACTCATAAACTACCTTGACTGGTTTAATAATTTCGCATATGCATATAAATATTACTGTATATTAGAGTAAAACCTGATCAAGATGTAATCGAAAACAATATTGTTCGATTATATACGCTGTTCTTAATTTGCAATATGGTAACTATTTACGTTTGTAAAACAACCGAAGAAATATCACATTTCTATGTAAGTTTCATCTGATTAATTACTCAAATTTACATTACCATCATGTCTTAAACACTTTACTGTCCATCATGTCGTTAATAATGTTATCCTAGTTAATAATATGGTCTAAACCATAACTTATAAACCGAACAGACCAAATCCTACTAAAATTTCAATCCTTGAATCTAACCTAATTAGATTATTTAATATACAGCTCTCATACATTGTGGTAACATAACATAAAGTAAATTAACACCATGTTTTGATTGTTATAACATTGAATTAGCCTATTTTATAATGCACCATTATGTGAGGTGAGAGATACTGCACTCAGGGAATGTTGATGAGAATATCCATATTCAGATGAGAAACTGTTACTACGTGTCAGTTATGTGATGCATCGCAAAGATAGCAGCAGAAATTTCAGTTTATCAATTTAATGGCTTGGAAAACTCGTTTCGAGTATCTGTAGTATCATGTAAAATTCAGTGATTGAAACTTCTCATCGTATTTCATGGACTATAAGAAATCAACAAGGGCGATTAATTACTTTCAGCCACCAGAAGTTAGTTTCGAAGAATACCTATAAGTCAATAAAAATAAGACATATTTCATTCTAGTCTAAAACTGCTAGTTCTCATGAAACGCGTGTCAAAGTATACATCTCCCACCAGATCCCTAGTTTATAAATTTCAGGCAATCGGTTTATGATGTAATTGTTCCTCGTCCTTAATGAGTACATCTTAGTCGTATTCTTCAAAAGCGCAATCAAAATCTTATGCGTCAACTTTGTATTGATCAATGAACAGTCAATCTCAAAGCTGATATGTAAGAAATCGTCCTGTTTATGTAATGGGGAAACTAACAGGAAGTAATCTGCTGAACAGTTTATGATTTCCAGTTTCACTACTGGTAATTTTCAGTGAAAACTACAAAAAACACTCAAAGTCCATTGATTCCGTGGTGAGGTTTATGTAATTACAATAGTAGGTAGATTTTCGTGTTTGGTTAAATAATGTTATTAAAAAATCATAAATAATCGTGGATGAAATTGTCCAAATAACAGTTCAAACAAATCGCATTTTATTTCATTTGGTACACAGAAATATCATGATTATTAAGAAATATGTCGTCATCTAGTTCATATATATTCACTAAACTTTTAATATGTACATATTTACATTGAAAATCAATAGAGAAACGCTAAAATTGATGACCTCAAATGGCCCGATATCTGACTCGTTAGATCGTATGATTGATTTATATTGAGATATACATGTCACCAATCCTCGTATATAATTACCGACTTAATTTGCGTTAGTAAATAATGGAATTAAATGAGTCAAATACGAGAATGAGTTTCGAATACGTATATTTCATACAATCATTGATCCAGAGAAACGAAGCGAAAAGACACGCGGTGGATAAGGCATGTAAGCCAACTCAATTTTACCAAGTATTAGTCAATATTTACAATCAGATAAAAATAAATTACAGACATTTGATGAGCAAGATGAGAAATGCATACACATACGCTCATATCAAAACAGTCAAGGTTGATAAGCGAATAATTAACAAGATCGGAATGTGACTCGAGTGGTATGAATAAACCAGTTTGTCCAGAAGCTAGAATAAGTTATGTGGGCTTAACATAGTAACGGACAATACGATACAACTCATTAAAATACCAGAATATCTCTGGGCTTCCGCTAAAGATGTAATTACTCAATAAAGTAGAAAACTTATGATATTACTTCATTCTAATCAAGGAAGTGGTTGAACTAGTTTGAGTACCAAGTAAATGAAACAGGAAAACATACGACGGGATTTTTCTGTTATTTACTTCCTTTTTCTCTAAAAATAATTAATTACTATTTCTATGAGCAACAATTTTACCGATCTTTTGACCTTCACTCTATTAATTATGACATGACAAGATCGCCAAACCGACCTTAGCCCTGTGCCGAACCAATAACGCTATAACCAGCACATGGAGCCCAGAGTCGGCTCTGAATACAGTCCGTTGAATCCGAAAAGCGACTTCAGCCTCCACTGTATAAAACGAGTATTTCAGACATAGTTTACATGCAAGCAAACCAAACCACACCATACGATTGTAGATCATCAACGTGGAAGATTTATTTCGAATGATCGGAAGCCTACGCAAGTTAAACGGTAATGGTGTGACGAACCACTTAATTTCGAAGTCACACATCACAGTCGGCATCTCACGTGGATTACCCCTTCGACATATCAGAGTACTATGGCTAATTTGAAGGCCATATAACACAAAGAATGTTAATATGGAAACATATTGGTAGAGATGAGTACAGAGAAGATAGAGAGACCACCACCACACGAATAAAATTAAGTATGCGTCTATGGACTTACCTGAGTCTTTCATGTTTACATTCTGGAACTCTCATCTCATACAGCCTGTTCAAACTATGAATATATCAGACATCCATCTGTTCGTACTAAGTGGTTTTGATTATTTATTTATTATTTTTGAGGTTCACTTGAATCGAGGTCAGACTTCTTAGCTAACAAAAGGTACTAAAGATCGCTGATTATGATGGGCGTAGTCTTCGTTGTTCATAATGTGGATCAGTCCAAATATTAGAAACCACATAGATTATTATACTTCGAATTATTCATTATTTAAAACATGCGGACCCACTAAAAGTCACTCGTACCACTGATACTGTTACATAACGTATTTGGAGATATCAATTTTGATCGCATTATAATTTTCGATTTACATGATAACGTAAACCAAAGACGTGAATTAACTCTTTAATTTAAATTACTAAGAAATATACAATACCCCGGGTGGTGCGGGGTCGTGGATGCGCACTGCTGAGGAGTCCCATACTAGGACGAAACGGCCGTCCAGTGCTTCCAGGTTTTCAATGGTGGTCTAGCTTCAACTGACTCATGATTTCAACTTGTGAAATATACAATTAATTAATATAGATATTAATATGGATATTATCAGGTGCTCATACAAACATAGAAGTTTAGACAGATCCCCATTGTTTTTGTCTTCACGAGTATTTTGAATGAACACTAATATAGAGGAATATAATCACTGAAATAGAACACTGTTATTATTATCATTACTACTAATACTACTACTACTGCTACTACTACCAATATTTGTAAACATTTGAACGAACAGTTTAATATAGATTAGATTCTGATTATATAAAAGACACTAATTATACAAGTTAATTTTGAAATTATCTCAGCGATCGAAATTTAAATAGCTTGTGAGACGAGCCATCATATTTACATAAATTTCAATCACT